CAGCTCAGGCGTGCCGAGAGACGGGGGAGACAGAGCCAATCTACCGGCCCCCCCCCACACACACACACCCAATCTACCGAAGCAGGCGAGCTTCTCCAGGCGGGAGTCTATTTCTGGCTCGCTCTCTTTTGCCTGCTTGCCCGGAGAGCCGCTCGCTCTCGCTCTCCTTAAAGCTCCCTTTGGATCGAAGCACAACACCCGGAGCAGCTGATCCTTGACCGCTGCCGGGCTCGTTCCCCTCTCCGCTCCGCTCCTCTCTCGCCACAAGCCGCGCAGCCCTTCTCCTCTCGCGACCTTCCCTTCTCCCGGGGTTCAGCTGCTGACTCACAAAGTCAGCAGCAGCAACGCGCTCTCCTGTTATGAAATGTCACGAGCCGGGCGCATTTGTTTACACACACACACACACACACATATAACAGTAAAAAAAAACCTCAAGGCTTTTTTTGGACCTTCAAACTTTCTTCAGATTTTTTTAAAGGTGGGGGGGACAGCGCGAGGCAAAACATCAAAGGCAAAAGAAGCTAGGGAAGAGACTTGTTTTTATGGGTGTGGGTGGAAAAGCCTCGGCAGGAGCATTTCGTTTTCTTCGGGAAAAGCGAAGGGTGCACAGTCACCGCTACCTAGATCATCCCCCCTCTCCCCCAAAAAAAGCCACCACCAGAGTAGCAGGAAAGCAAACGAGAAAGGGAAGGATGGTTGATGAGGCGACGGGAGGGGGCAGGGAGTTGTAAAGCAATATTTACCTTGCTGGGGAAGAGTGGAGCGCAAGGACTCTCCCTCTCGCTCTCTGAGTCACCCGGAGTGCACAGATCCAGCGAGAGGAACTAGATTATGAATATGACTTCATTGATGACAGCCATTCCCTCCTCTTCCTAAACTCCAGCCCCGCCTCTCGGCTCCTCCCACTCGTTCTGTCTCCACCCCCCGCAAAGAACGCCGCCGTGGTGCCAGAGGAAAGCCTCTGATTGGCTCATCCCGGTGACAACCCCCCCACCCACCCCCACCTAGGAGGCCGAACGGAACGAGAGATTGGCGGTTGGGAACTGTCCCTCAAGCTACAGTTGGGAGAGGGCGGAGCTGCCGCTCTTGCTGCTGCTGCTGCTGCTCTTTCGCGAACGTGCAGCCGGATCGGCGGCGGGGCGGGGGCGTGGCGTCCCTATGCTTTCCTCCTCCTCCCGCTCTTCCTCCGCTGTGCAACAGAGCGAGCCTTGAGTAGCAGGCATCACTATACAGAGGTCCCCTCCTTGATCGATCGCGCTTTCTTTCCGATCACATGCAGTGAAGGCTGTTTTTGGAATGGGTCGTGTTTTTTTTTTAGAAGGGAGGGGGGAAGGGAAGGGATAATGAGCGCGGAAGAGATAATGAGCGGGGTTGGGGGGAGGGGGTCAGGTGAAGAAGAAGGTGCTGGAATCTGAAGCGTGCCTGGTGGCGCCAGCCAGCAAGAGGGCAAGGGCGGCCGGAACGAGGCGCGGATCCTGAGCCGGCTTCTAGCTTTGGGGACTCGGGTTTGCCTTTAAGAGGGAGTGTTCAAGACGGAAAGTCAGGGTTGCCCTGAAACTTCGGAGCTCCTTCCGTTCTCTGGCGACCGGGAACTTCTTTGATGGAAAGTGCCGCCAGGGAAACGTGAGAGAACCTTCCAGCTCAGTTTGTCTGCCAGTCCAGCTGCTCTTTCAGCTGCCCAGTGATGAAGCCCTGGCTTTCATCAAGAGCCGTCTCTTGATGTTTGCAAAACTGGCTTCCAGACATAGAGAAAGAAAAGAGATGTAGAGACAGGTCTGGAAGCTATCACGAGAAAGCCCTCTCCCCCTCGGCAGGCTAAGACGGCAGGTCAAGGTGGTTCTCCAGGCTAGCGAAAGTAAGTGGGGTGATCTTGTGCCTTTCTTTCCTCAGTGCTCTCGCCCCTGAAACGTTTTGCTGCCATTGCGCTTGGAAGCTGCCTGTAACTTCGAAACCATCTCGACAGCTGGAGAGTGGAGTCCCACCCCCACAAAGATGATCATTAAGTCATGCACACCTTTCTGAGGAAAAGGTTGTGAAAGCAGTTACTGACCTGTGTTTGGATTAAAGGGTATCATTTTGTTTGGCACGACACCCTCCTCTTCGGCATCAGTCAAGTGCCTTCTATAAGAGCTTTGAAACCAGCAGGCGTGTTAGTGTAAAACCTGACTAACCTGCTTGGGCTGATTCACAACCTTCTGTCCCTGTCAATGAGTTCCAGAAGTCTGGTTTTCAAAGAGAGAGCCCTCTGGCTAGAATATGTACACCATAACCATTGCAACAGAGGGATCCCCCTCTATCTTGCTTTCCGGGCCAGGTGGAGGAGTACACAAAATCCCAAGGCTTCATTTTTTCCAGTGTCCATCCTCTGAGCTCCAGGAAAGAGGGACTGTTTGATTATACAATACCATAGAGCTTTGTCACCTGCAGTTCATGAAATTGGATGGCATATAAAGCATGATAGGTGAGGTGCCACAAAACTCTTGTGTGGCTTTTTCTGCAACAGTTTAACATGGCTGCTTCCTTGGAAAGATTCCTGTCTGAAATCTTGATAAATTTAACACACTCATCTTAGTTTTTCATTCTTTAACTAGAGCCCTTCGTCACAAAGTAAGGTGTTTTGTTTCTGTTTTATTTAAAAGAGAGAAACAGTTGGGGTAAACCAAAATTCAACACACACTCTTCAAAAGAAATTAAGACATACTGTATGGATTACTGCTCTAGGTATAAGATAATGTTTGACATATTGCAATGGAACAGCTGAAGTTTTCTCTCTGTTCCTTCATGCTTGCCTTGCATTGTAACATCTGGTTCACAGATCAAGAAGTGATTCCCAAGCACTGGGTCAGTCAATGCAATGTTTGTGGTAATGCCCAGTGACTCTCCTGCCTCCCCTCTCTGACTCAGATGGTCTTAATCTTTATACATTTCCATAGACAAGGTGAATGCACTGTCCAGTCAGATTTTAGCACTACATCCGAAAGTAATACTGAAGCCCATTCACCAGGGTTTGGCGTTAAACTTAATGGCCACAATTTTTTCTTTTCAAATGCAAAGTAACTGAACACCTTGATTACCTGGAGAAATGGGAAGGCAGTTGATTGCCCTCATCCTGTATAGATGGAGAAAGATACAATGTCTTGCCTTATCAAAGTTTATCTGAGAATTGCAGAGCCATGGAAACTCCAAGAGATGTCCCATAGGACCTGGTATATTCAGAGCCAGAGAAAGGAATGGTTGAGTCCTGCAAAGGCTGTTCTATGAAGCTGAGCTGTCTTACAAGATTGCAGTTTCTTTTGTCAGGATTATGTGTGCTTGTGTACTATCACATCTAAACTGACATAGCAACCCTAATATGGCTTTCAAGATTAGTGAGATAAGGAGTAGTTTTACAAGTTCCATTCCCCCCCCCGCAGTAAGTTTCCACGCCCAAACAGGAATTTGAATCCAAGACTCCTCAATCATAGTCCAGCACTCTATCCACTACATCACACTGGGTATCCTTAGATAATGTGCATGCTGGTTTTGGATCTCTCTTAATCAGGACTTGGAAAGCATTGCCTTTTTGGTCTACAACTCCCTGATAAGTGATTTTTCCAAGCTTTGTTCCAAGGCTATATAAATTCTAATGAATGTTATTAAAATCCTAATGGCATTCACAATCAAGGCTGTTCAAGTGAGGCCAGAGCATTGGGCATGTCCCTTTGCTCCTCCTGCAGCTCTCTTTCTGTCCTTCAATGAATTCTGCAATTGTAGATAATAATAATGGGAGGTGGCAATGTTACTTTGTGTTACTTTCTGCTTCCAGTGGGAGGTGAGGTGTGGAAAAGAGAGTAAGAAAATGGCTCCAGTGAGTTAAAATACAGGAGATGCCCCAAGGGAGGGGAAGTTAAATCAGTGTTTATGATTTTGTGTTTAAATAGATGTGTTTAAGTAAAATAGTGCATCTTGTAGTAATGTTGTTTCTCTCTGAGCATCAGTTATGATTAAGAGACAGAACAGTTTGATCAGGAGCAGAAAAGAAAGGCAGGTGCTCCCTGCCTTCTAAAAAAAAGTTTCTCTCTTGTACCCCCTTATATAATTGCCCTTTTTGTGTTCAAGGGCAGTGTCTCTGCCATTTATCTCTGCTGTAGAGTAAACAGAACATACCTAAGGGATAAGCTCCTCTGCAAGACAGCTTGTCTGGACTGGCCTTGAACTCGGCAGGAATCAAACCAAATGACCATTTCTTTCAGTCAGAAGGATACAGGAGTGGGGTGGAATGTGAAATTAATCTCACTGGCAAAATAAAATGTTCAGCTGACACAAGAGTCAAAGCACTGATTGCTTTTGTTAGCTATAAATCAGACTGGGGCTGATATTTTGAGGGTTAGAGGACAGTGGGCAGTTGAATGGTTGCACTCAAGTCATTGAGTTTTGTTGGTAGACTCTGGCGTAGTATATTGCAGTCGCTCCTTTGGTTGGGGCCATGAGATAGAGCCCATTGGCTCTGTGTCCGAACAGAGACATTTTCCTTGCTTAAAATACTGCACAGGAATGGGAAGAAGTGATAAGTATTCAGGCCATAAAATGACAGTGACAAGGCACACTATCCCTCTGAAGATATAAATTAAATATGTAAAATCATAAAATACAATTTAAGGGATAAATTACTTCTTCACTGGTCAATCTTCCTATAGAAAGATGAAAGTCAGCCTGCTCCTCTAATGGAAGGAATACCTCGGGTTGTTATATGCAGCTTAGACAAGGCTGGATTTTTACAAGCTGGACCATGTGTAATTAAAGTGGCACTGTCCTGCTGATCTGCCAGTGTCTGGATGCACAACTCAAATGGGCTTAAGGGCCAATTTTTATGCTGGGCACTGTATGGCCAAGATAAATGTGGAGCATTCCATCAGCAAAGGGGAATGTATATATTCTATAGATTGCATAGATATTCATACTTGTGGCCCAGCATCATCATTTTTTGAATTCCAAGCAAATCTGTCATTTCTGAACAGATGCAGTATAATAAACTTTCCAAGATGTATTATTAACTGCAAGAGACCACCTGTATTCAGTCTTGATTTTTACAGAGCAAGCCCAGACTATCCTGATTGCTCTATACTTCTATTGTAGCTATTTACAGCCATCGAAATAATCATGAGAAAAGTCTGTGTTGGAAGGAAGGGCACTGGGCATTATGTCTGGAAAGCACGTGCTGTGAAAGTGAATATAACAACCAGTTATGTTGACATGAGATCTTGTTGAAGAAATACAATGGTTTTAACTGGGAGATCTCAAACCAAGGTTGATGCATTTTTTCATTGGCCTAATGGAGGTATTATACTAAACTTGATTTGGGAGTTTTCATATACAGTATTAAATACTAATATAGTAGTGACCTTTTTCCCTAAATGCCAATCCTTGCGTAGCTGTGACAGTACTATCCATGTGCAAGAGGGATGCATTAGCAGTTTTTAGAGAGCTCTGAATTTTGCAAACCTATGCAGACACCAGAGGACCCAAAACAGCCCAGTAGTAGCAGAGCATGCTCAATGGCCAAAAATGTTCCATGTCTATTGCGAAGGGGACTGAATAGATTGCCCTGGAAAAAGGCTAGGCTGGGTGGAACCTTGAATTGGAGCACACTACACTGCAACATTTTGTGGCAAGTCCTATTTCATGTTTATCAAGTGTGGACTGTGGTTTTAGAACGTAGTAGAGCAAAACAGAGGGGATAGTGTCAGCTGATGAAAGACTGATGTGGTGGAATACAGGATATATAACATAGGAATGTAAGGACTGCCATGCCAGGTCAGACCAAGAGACCTCTAGTTTAGCATTTTGCATCTGGATGGGCCCTGATAGATACCTCTGAATATGAAGACTGAAGGCATTTCCATTTAATTGTCCTCAGCGTGTGATATTGACATGCCTCCTCTGCATTGGGAGGTTTCTCTTAGCTGTCACAGCTAAGAGTTGCAAACCATACTGCATTCAAATCAGTAACCTGACTGCCAGTGTGGTGGATAGAATGTTGAACTGGGAGTCAGGAGACTGGAATTCAAATTCCTGTTTGATGAAGGAAACTCACTGAATGGGTGGCATTAGTAAAACCACTCCCTAAGTGGTTGTTGTGGGTTTTTCGGGCTCTTTGGCCATGTTCTGAAGGTTGTTGTTCCTAACGTTTCGCCAGTCTCTGTGGCCGGCATCTTCAGAGGACAGCACTCTGTGCTCTTATGTAGTTGGCTTGAGAGTGGAGTATTTATGGCTGTGAGATCAGCTTTTGTCCTTTTCAGGAGATGGGTGATAAGTGTGTCTTCTTGTGGGTGTGTTGTTCTGATAAGGAGGAGAGATTATCTGTCGCTGTGATTGATGGGTGTCATTAGCTGGCCTTTTGTGTGTAGTGATCCCTGGTCCTTGTGGCTGGGGAGAGTTCCTTGACCTTTTGCATGCTGTATTTTTCAGAGCTGGGAGCCAAGTTTTGTTGAGTTTCAAACTTTCCTCTTTTTTGTTGAAGTTCTGCTGGTGCTTGTGAATTTCAGTGGCTTCCCTGTGTAGTCTAACGTAATGATTCCTGGTGTTGTCAGTAGGTTGAAATAGAATTTCATTTCCAGCTTGTTTTAGGGCATGTTCAGCTACTGCAGATTTTTCTGGTTGTTTTAGTGTGCAGTGTCTCTCATGTTCTTTGATTCTGGTGTGGCTGCTTCGGTTTGTGGTTCCAATATATACCTGGCCACAACTGCAAGATATCCGGTATACTCCTGCAGTGGTGAGGGGGGCCCTTCTGTCCTTTGCTGACCATAACATTTATTGTATTTTGTGGTGGGCTTGAATACTGTTTGTAGGTTGTGTTTGTTCAAAAGAAGGGAGTGGATTTTGTACATCATCTGTAAGTTGCTGTTCTCTTTTTTCATAAACACTTTTTAAAATATTTCAGTTACTTTTGAAAAGTAGGAATGCTAACTATGTTGGAGACCTCAAAACTATAACTGTAACTGGTTAAATTTTAAAAGCAATTTCTCCAGCTCTGGTTTCAGTACATATATT